CGGTGCCCGCCGAGGGCTCCCCGCGGCCGATTCCGGCCTCCCGGCGGCAGGGCGGGGAGCAGAGGGGCCTGGAGGGCGGGAGCGGCCTGGAGGGCCGAGGAGGTGAGAAAGGAGGAGGGAGAGGGAGGACTTGGGCGGAGGGCGGAGGCAGGGAGAAGGGCCTGGAGGGCGGGTGGCGGCCTGTGGCTGGTGACTTACATGCCTGGCGCCTAAGGCTGGTGACTTCTTGGTTGTAAATCAAAACTGGGCTGGTTTTTGTTTTTTGTTTTTTGTTTTATTTTTCAAACGCACCAGCCCACGCTGGTCCTCCCCTCCTCCACTCCATGTTTTTTCTGATCATCTGACTGAGGTCCTGATGACCCATCAGTTGGCTCGGGTAAAAGGTTAAGCAAGAAAACCAGCAGAACTGTGATGACAGGTGTCCCCAAACAGGGGAGGAGGAATTAGCTTCCTGGCGTCCCCGGAATTTAACCGAAACTTCGGACCTGAGTCCCAGCCAGTCCCGGTTTGCAGGCTTCTAAGAGGACAGTGTGTGAATTCCAATTGAAGATGACCTCTTCCTGTTACAGATCTTTTATTCAGGCGGAGGGTAAATCACACATCAAAAGAGCCCACCGTGAGGCTTGTGATACTTAATCTGATTGCTCAAGAGCCATTTTCAGCTTTTTGGCCACATCTTATCAAGTCCGCCCTGGTAACACTTCGCTGGACTTCCAGAAGCAGCAAGGCTGGTGAGAAAAAGGTGCTTGTTGTCTGAACCTGCTGCTCCCCTGTGCCAGACTGCAGTCTCCCCAGCAGCCCTTCCTTCCCTCGGTTTCCCCAGACGTTGGAGGGCTGCCCACTCTCCCTTTCATGCAGACCCTCTCCAGCTTTGGGGCTCGCCCCCGAAGGCTGACTTGTCTGCATCCCCTTGTCCGCATTCCTAGGGAAGGATTTCTTCGGCCTCTCCTACTGGAAACTGGGTCAGTGGGTCAAGGATCACCTCGCTGGGGAAAGCCTCTTTTTCTCAAATGTGCTAACTGGGGGTTCTCAGCACAGAGGCTGGGAGGATTCTCCCCTAAAACACCAGAGCTCAAGTTGTGGAACCTTCGGGCATTAAACCACTGCGTTTCCCTCAGGCTCCGTTTCCTTAACTATAAAATGAGGGATAAGGCCAGATTTCAGTCTCCCTCTTCAGCTTGGCGGGGTTCTCTGCTGGCTCTCTGTTCCGGGAACGTATAGCATAAACATTTCCTACTGAATAAATGTTATTTCTGATGCCAAAAAGCAACACAGGAGGCATTTATATCAAGTTTTAAAGCTTTTGTTTGGAATACAAATGTGCAGATTTTATCCTGGGGGGTGGGGGGGCAGAATCTCAATTGTATCTCTTCACCTGGAACTCTGACCCTACTATATTTTCACATCTCTATTAGAAAACAATAAATAAAACCACCCAGAGAAATAGGAACTCTAATTTGATCTGCTGCTGAACAGTGAGGTCCTTTTTAAGAGACTCACACAGCAGTATGCCAGGAGGGACGGCAGAGGTTACAAGCGGTGCCTGACTTGCACAGGTCGCCCCAAGTCAGCTGTCACACTCTACAGGGGCAGCTGGGAGGAGGCCAGGCAGGGGCCCAAGGGCATGAGGCACCGAGGCCCTGCGCTGAAGGTCAAGCCAGTTCCAAGAGACTGCCCTCGCTCAGTCCTGCAATCAAGGAGGAAAGCGGTCAAGCTCTTGGAGGTCCACCATGGTGTTTAGGGAAAAGTCTTTTGTCGCCTCAACATTTAAACGAAACATGTTTTTAAAATGACAGCTTGCTAGGGCCTCCCTGGTGGCGCAGAGCTTAAGTCTCCGCGCTATGAAGCTGCCACCAGCCCACTGGGGCATGAATCACCCCCAGCCAAGGAGGGACCCCCAGGGCGCGGCAGACCCCTCCTGACCCGCCGCTGCCCCCTCAGCAGTGTGTCTCAGTAGATCGCCTGTTCTGCTCCCCACTCTGTCTCTGGTGGGTCCTCTCACACCCCCCACCTGCACCTCTGGCCTTCACCCACCTCTGTACAAAAATAAATAAAACCTTAAGAAACCACGGCAGCTTGCTGCTGACCCAGCGTTTTCTCTCGCTTGCAGGTGAGGCAGTAGGTTGCTGTGAGTCTGCACCCGGTCTAAGCACGTAGGTGTGTCCCCACTCTGCGTGGGCCGCTCCAGCCTCGGGCCTGCCCAGCCTCCAGCTTGGTCCAGGCACACTCAAACCATGCACAGTTCAGCGGGACCTTTCCTGGGGGGCCAGTTAAACCACAGAGTACTGGCCCCAATTCCAGAGCCCCCGACTCAGGGGGTCCAGCTGGACCCTAACAACTTGCCTGCCCGGCAGGACATTGATTCTCCTGGCTTGAGGAGCCAGCCTGGGCCATGGGCAGCCTCACAGTGACCGCCACACCCACCTGGCCGTCACTGAAGCCACCGGTGACAGTCAAATGTCCTGGGCTCCGCCCTCCTGAGGCGAACCTGCAGGTGGCCCGGGGGCGGAGGGTACATCCTATAGAGCTCCCCAGAGGGCGCTGAGACTGGGCCAGTGCTCAGACCCCCTTGAACTTGGAGCGGCTGCAGGTCCGCCTGGCACTTGAGCTGGGCCAGCCTCCCTGCTGCCATTTCCTTTTCTAGGCTAAAGAGGAGAGGCCTGCTGGGAGAGAAGGAGCCAGTCCTCAGGGAGTGACCCCCCAGGTCACGATGTGCCTGGAATCAGGCAGGCAGAGGGGATTCTGGGAGGTGCCTTTGGGCCATGGCGGGCAGGCACAAGCCTACATGCCTGCCCTTTATCACACATGGATGGCCCTTGCCCTTGCACAAGCTCGTTGCCACACCAGGCTGGCAGCTTTTCAGCTTTACCATTTTTAATTCCACACTCCTCCGGAAAATGCATCACCCAAGCTGATATTTAAACCAGGTTTTTCAAAAAATGCCAAGTGACATTCTTAGAGACACTGAGTGTGCATAAGCACTGGGGCTTTGGGGGCGCCTTGCGGATGTAGGGCTCTGACTCCCCGTCCCTGCTGGCCCTCCCTGGCACGTTGTTTTATTTTTCATGATGAAATGAAGAAGTGAATTCCAGGGCTGAACCACCCAAGCTGAATTAACAAACCGGCAGAGGCAAAGTTGAATCAGACTGCTGACTCTGGGAGCCAGTGATTGACACTGACCTTGAAGGCGAGGGCCAGAGACTGATTCCAGGAAACTGCTCCTCTAAAGAAATGTTGGAACCAAACCAGAAAACGTGCTGGCGTGTTTCAAAACATCTCAAAGTAATACCTGAGGGAGAGCTTATTCCAGGTCATCTGTTTCCATTTTCGGGGCACGTGGCTGACTCCACCACCCCGACCGTGGTGTGGGCAGCCAGCTGAGGGAGTCTGTGTACTAAGCAGGCCTTGCTGGGGAAGACAGGCTGGGGAGAAATGAAAGTAGCCACTTTCTAGGAGATTCTTAATCCAATAAATGATCGCTATTTTGGTTTCTCAGTACATACAAAAGTTCTATCTGCACTATACTGTAATTTCTCAGGTGTGCAATAGCATTATGCCTAAAACAATGCACACACCTTAATTAATGTGACACAGAGGACCTCCCTTGTGTCTTGAGGGATTAAGTCTCAGCATTATGAAACAACCCCCAGCCAC